GTCACAGCCTCTAATGACTCTGGTGCTCAAGGCGACCTTTAATTATTATATTTTTGTTCTCTTATACCTTAGTCATTAATGTAGAAAAACAAATTAGTTTATTTTTGTGGACCACAGCAGATTCATAGATCGGCTTCCAGTTTCCACATCTGAATCGTGTTTCATTGTGACAATCTGCACAGCTTCATTCATTTCCCTGCCTCTGCAGCTGCCCCACTTGGGCAGCTTGGCTCTTGAATCCACCACCTCGGGTGCAGGATTTACCCTGAGCCTTGGTTGGACACTCTCTTTGCTCTAACGGGTTTCACTATGCTATTTGGTTTGCAACTCACTTTTCAAAGCTCTCACATTGCTTTATCAATGACTCAGACTGACCAACATCTCATGATTACTATGGGACACTGGAGGGAGGAAATGGCTCCTGATTTGCAGGGATGGGAAAGTAGTGGGCACCAAACACCCACAGGAAAAGACAGGCTGAGGGGCTAGATGTCAGGCCCAACCCAGGCCCAGAGTTGCTGAAATTGACTCCCAATATCCAAGGACACTTGTCCCTACCTGCCCTCTCAAGGAAATTCTCTTTTAACAAGCAAAACAAGAAGTCCTTCAGTTGGAAGCATTTGACAAGGAAAAAGAAAATTTTTATGCTCTTTTTCTCACCCCCAGCCCCATCCTGACTTGCACACACACACACGTATGTACACACTCCACCCAGGGATAGCAAGTGGTCCTCCTAGTGCCTTCTGAGCTGACTGGAGCAGGGTGTAACCACCCAAGGAAGCATGAGCCAAGTATTTGGGGATGAGTTTCTGGATGGGAGCTTCCAACAGCCAAAATAAAACCAAATAAATCAAAACTGCAAGAAAAGCTGTAAGCAAAAGAAAGCTTAGAAACAAACCAAGAACATGAAGGCTGTGGCAGGTGAGGTGACCACCTAACAAAGGGAGAGGGAGACCAAGCCCGGGGCCTGGCCCCCTGGGCCCTGGGGACCCGCCACCACCACTAGGAGGCCCAAGGGACACACAGCCTGGTGAGAGCAACTCCACGTGAGTCGACATAAAGAATGGTGCAAAGGAAAAGAAGCATCGCAAATAAAAGAGTACATGTAGCATGTGCCTACCATTTTCCAGATAAGAAGGGGCCGTACCTTCTGACGGGTCCAGGCGGCGGGCCCGCCGCCCGTGTTTGGAGTTGTTGTGCACAAACATGTTGTCGGACACGGCCAACACATGGCCGTCCACGTTGACTGTTGTCGATACAACAACCTGTGAAGACGAAGTGGATTTGAAAATGGAGTTGGCAAAGGGAGCGCAGTCCCCGCAGATACTGCAGAGCACAGGAGACCCCCTCCTGGAACCCCACCATCAGGCCCTCACAGCTCTTTTGGTAATAGGGGTGGGTTGTTTTGTTTTGTTTTGACTCGGGATTGCGTCTTTTCAAAGACTGGCTCCGCTAATTACAGTTTAATCTCTTATTATGCTAACAAGTGAATTCAATGCAGAAAAATATTATTGTCACCATCAGCTTCAGAAACACCCCTCTAGCCACTCATTTTAAAGTCCCTGTTTGGATTGATCTGTTCACATATTGATTAGATAGTTTATCTAATTTAAATTAGTTCACTTGAGACCAGCCTCCCTTGAAGAGCTGTAAGGATTCACAGTTGCCCCAAAAGGGTCTCATAAATCAGGACCCATCCTCTCCCCAACATTTTATCAGCAAATGATCCCTAAGTCAATTTTACAATTACATTTAATGTCTCGTAATGAACATTTTTGCCTCTGAAAAGACCAAGTTGAGTGTGAATGGCGGAAGTGTTCTGAATTCTTCCTCCAGTTCATGGGAAGGTGGTAAGGGCAGGTGCTGTCTCTTCTGTGGGACTGAGTGGTTCCAGTCTTAGGCGGGGCTCAGAGGATGGCCCGGGGGGAGAGGACAGGTCAGGGCTCCTTATACCCTCAGACGCCTCCTGCTGGTGCCACACACCTACCTTCCCAGCTGAGCCTGTCATAGGTATCTCAGAAACAGCGCGCCTCAATGGACCCAGGAAACCACACAGTTCAACCTGGCCCTGACCTTCTCTTTAATGAGTGGGTCCCTGTGCTGTGCTGCCTCCAGAGTGGCTAGAGCTCAAGCCAGGTTTACTGGGTCTCACGATGGGCTTCCTGGGGCCTGAGCCTGGGTGGGCAGGGAAGAAGTCGGGCTCAGTGCCACAGCTGGGCAGACAAGGCAGGTCTTGGAGCCACACTACCCTAGAAAGTTGCATGGCAGGAGGCAGCGAGCAGGGACATCCAGGTACAATGAACTGTGACAAGCCAAGGCTGCGCTGGGTGGTGGTAAGTAACAACCATCAGTGTTGGTTCATCAAATGTAAAGAGCACTATGTCAAAGATGTCAATCAGGGGGCAATTGTGAGAGGCAACCAGGACATTGGGGAGCTTTCCTAACTTTCTAAAGAACTTTTTTCTAAATCTGAAACTGCTCTAATAAAAACAAAGTTTATTAATAATTAAATAAACTGAATTAAATTTTTCAAATTAATGAATAGAAGTGATTAAAGACAAGTAAATAGTATTGTTTTTTTTTTTAATTTTTAATTTATTTTCTAGTTTTTGGCGGACACAACATCTTTGTTTGTATGTGGTGCTGAGGGTCGAACCCAGGCCACATGCATGCCAGGCGAGCGCGCTACTGCTTGAGCCACATCCCCAGCCCCAAGTAAATAGTATTGTTAAGAGTTTAAAAAAGAAGCCAAGGGTTGGGGATATAGTCCGTGGTAGAAAGTTACCCTAGCATGCAAAAAAAAAAAATTCCACAAAACCAAACAACAACAACAACAAAAAACTCCTGACAAAACAGAAGCCATGGCTGCACATCTGTGAATGCATGGGTGCATGGGTAACTGGCTTTTTAAAAACCTCAGGTCCCACAGAAGATCGTGAAGTGGGGGCAGTATGAGCTCCATCAGGGGAGCCTCCTTGACACTGTCTCCCCTTGGGCCTGCCAGGGTCCCGGGGTCTCAGCAACACTAGGCTGTTTGAGCCTCCAGCTGTGGATGCCACCACTGTGCACACTGGCACTGCCCTCTGGAGCCTTGGCAGGGGCACACTGGTGCCACTATGTTGGGGCCAGGCCTGGAGGAGCCAAGGGCTGCTCCTGGGCACCCAGGTGCCCTTCTCGGGTCCACCTGAAGGCCCTCTCTGGGCATGAAAGGAATTCCCTGAACGTATCCCCCAAGCATGATGCAGACCGCTAATGTTGAGGCTGGGACTTGGCCTTCTTAAGCTCTTAGGCCATATGTTAATAAAGAAACAAGAAGTGGTAAAAATAAAAATTAAAGACACCACCTTGGTTCTGTCATCCTTATTTAGGCCTGTCACCAGGGAAAACAGGGCCATTCAGCAGAGAAAGCATGCCGTGCTATGCATTTCCTCCTGGGCCAGCTCTGCCAAGCACCTGGGAAGGTGCCGAAGCCAGCGTAGAGCATCCTAAGAACCTTGACATACGCCTAAGTCCAGTTAAACCTTCCAGGAGGCAGGAAGATTCACTAGAGACCAGAGGAAGTCCTCCTAGGCACTTCAGCTCCACGGTCAACCTTGAGGTTGCTGTGACTGATGCTATGCTGGGTCAATTGTGAGACAAAGAAGGTGCGGCCACTCTGCCCAGTGTGACCTCCACTCTGTTTAGATGGATCAAAATCACCTATGCCCTGTGGAGCCTTGTGCATGAAAAACAGGGAGCAACAGTGTGCAAGAATCACTCCCTGGCTAGAGGCCACTGTGGGCACGGAGGGAGGGGCAGGGATCCTGCCTTCCTGATGAGCTGCAAGGAAGCACAGAGGCCATGTGCTTTCCTAAAGGACTGAAGCATTATGAGCTTCCTGAAAACACTTTGAGCTATTTGATGGAAAGCAGGCTATGTCCCAAATAAGACTTGCTAGGTAACTCATCCATCTAGTGTTCACTCCCATCAGCCACCCACTTCCTCTCTGGTTGGCAGGTACCAGCTGTAGTTCTGTGTTCCAGCCCAGAATATTTATCTAATGCAAATTGGCCAAATAATCCTTTACCCTGATGTAGCCCCTGACCACTCACAAAGGCTAAGAAAAACACAAACACTCTTCTAACTAATTGGTCCCTGAACTTAGCCCACTCCCTTCTCTCCTATAGGCAAAATCCTCTCCCAGGACAACAGGGACAGAAGTTAGCCTGGGCCAGAAAGAGACCAGCAGCCAGGGCTGAAACAGACAAAGTTGGAAAAAGCAAACCTCCGGGACAGGTAGAGGGGGCTGGGAAAGCATTCTGAAATTTGCAGAGGCCTATATTAGGCAGGGGCAGACCTCTCTATGAGGAGGGTCCAAGACCCTGAGATTTCCTGAAAGTTTGAATATGGTTCTTTCCACCTGAAAACCAATCATTAATCAATTGATCATCAATCCCTATAAGATCTTTGGCATGGCCACATTTTCAGAGCTGACATCAGGTCTGTTGTGGACCATGACTGGGCTCCATGAATCTGGCACCCTGAAGACACCAGATCATTTTTTAAAGTGTTTTAGTCACATGAGTTTTCAAATGAGGTAAGTCTTGTTTGCTACTGGCCCTTGGAGAACTACAGACTGTTTTCTGAACAACTGCAAAATCAGTGAATTCAGATACTACAAGAGCAGCCAGCCAGGCTGCCTGCCCTTGGGGTGCATACCTGGAATCTCCGCATATCCCGAGGGTTGCCTGCATTCTTCAAACAGTTCTGATTGCACTTGAGGAAAAACTTTAGGAAGAATCTACAAAAACACAAAACACAGATAGTTAGAATCATCAGACATAAGACCAACCTTTTGAAAAATACTTGTGCCATGACACAGCGAAGACCACTCATGGCTGCGTCTGGCTGCCCTGGAAGTGGGCAATACTAAGAGAAGGTGCAGGCCAGGGTACAGGGTGCCCAGTCCACAGCTAGCACAAGGACTCTTGTGCATGCAGCGTAAGAGCCATGGCTGCCATGTGCCTGGCACATGATCCCCAAACTGGACTGGCCTTCTCTCGCCTGATCTTCACACAACCAGCCATTACCCTTTGGGAAAGCATCGTCCCAGACAGGGCTCTGTCTTCAATCAATAAAACACTGGATGTCTGGTTGAATTTGAATTTGGGATAGGAAACAAATGACTCTGTTATGCTCTGGGACACACCTATATTATAAAAAGTTCTGTTTATTTGCAATTGAATGTGCTACATCTTGACCTGGCAATCCAGCTCTAGAGGACAGCCCCGCCAAGGCAAATGCACTTTTAAAAACAGATGTTAAAAGTTCAATAACTCTCAAGAAGAGGGATTATGGAGTGACATGATTTCTGGGGAAGGTCTCTGAGTGAAGGGTACAGTTCACAATTCTTGGTGTGGTCAGGAAACTGGCTCCAGCTGAGCACAGGCGCAAGGCAGCATCCCAGGTGGGAGTGGCGAGGCCAGGCTCGAGACCTAGCTCTGTCTCCCGCCAAGCCCTCCCCTGGTGTCCATGGAAGTCAGATTCAGGAGTCCTGACAAAGTAGAGATGCTGTGTCAAAAAACGTCATTGTGGGGGCTGGGATTGTGGCTCAGCGGTAAAACACTCGCCTAGCACGGGCAGGGCCCAGGTTCGATCCTCAGCACCACATAAAAATAAAGGCATTGTGTTGTGTCCATCTACACCTAATAAGTAAATAAATAAATAAATAAATTTTTTATAAAAATTTCACTGTGCTGTCCTCCCCATTCCTGCAAGCTCAGGTACAAATGCAGATGTGCTGGCTTTTGGTCCGAATGGGCAGACAGCGGGCAGTGCCACCACCCATGGGGAGACAGGATTCTCCCTGTGCAACGCCTCTTGCAAAGGCCACTTCTGTTGTAAGCCCAAGTGGACTCTGCTGACACATCTACTATCCTCGGGTGTCAGAGCATCCTTTCCAGCAAGGTTATACCCAAAATCTTCTGTTTTCTCCCCAAATATCATCTGTCCTACTTGGTGATGATTAATGTTCTATGAGATTTCACATGATTTCCTTGATGTTTGGTGTTCAAGGTTCCTCGTTGGCAGTTACAGTATCAGAAATGCAGACTCCGTAGACAGAGGCTCATTTCTCTACTGGTACCTCAACATATCCTGGAAGACTCCTGACTGTGGCAGAGGAAAACCCGGTCGATGGGGGAAAGAATGGTGGCCATTTAATTAAATTTTCTTACATACCGTGAGGCCTCGCTATTTTAGGCCAGAATTTACATCTTTTATTAACTCACCTCACCTATACACTTAGCTCACACTGCCTCCTAACACCATCTGCCATCAGCCACGGCAAGTCACTTGATATTCCACCCACCAATTTTTCCTAACAACCACTGTGCAATTAAACTCCACACATTCTGCGGCGAGGTAAATTAGGCGCACCTGCGGCCACACTGCATTTGAACTGCATCAGAAAGGGCCTAACAAGGTGAGGGCGCCACAAAGTTACCGTCCTGTCAGGCAATTAGGTTTTCACTTGGGGGACAGCCACGCGGTGCAATTACGCCCCACATTACACCCGGCTAATCTTCTGAGCAGGCGCCGGCCCGGGAAGCGGCTCGTCTACAGAGGTACCTGCACAGAGCTGGCAGTGAGAGGTTTTTTGTGTGAAATAAAAGATGTTCTCCCCCTTCAGAGGATGGTACTTTAAGTTCCTGGATGTCTGGTTAGCCAGTTCACCCTGTTACCTCTAAGAGAGCAGAGTGGGTTTGGAAGATATCCCAGGCAGCCCTCGCCCCAGCCCTGATGGCCAGGAGGCCCCCAGGGCCTAAACAAGGAAGTTGGGTGCTGGGCCTGTAAGTGTCCAGAGCATCCACGGGGTCCACCGTACAGGAACGCACACTTGCCCCCTCCCTCTCGATGTGGCAATCATAGGCTGTCCCGTCCAAGGGCAGGGCAAGTACTTCAGAAAGATCCCCAGATCCCCTTGGAGAGCAGGGTCCTTAAGCACAGAGGCCCCAGTGACTCAAGTGAGATCAAGCACACAGTCACCAGACTCCTGGCCAGGTGGCTGCGACCTCTGTAGGACAGAGGAAGACTCGCAGGGAACCCAAGGGCTTGGTGCTCCTCCTCTACCTGCGTTTTGGAAATGTCCCTGGGGCTCTCCACTAAGCCTTCGCAGGCAGAGGTGGCACAGCAAGTACTGGCCAGACACACCTGCAGGGTTCGGGAAGGATGAGGAGGCTGAAGGCCCGGCAGGCAGAGTCAAGCGGCCCTCAGTCCTTTACTCCATGACCCCCCAGTTGGCTTTCTCCTAAGAAATATCTGACAACCACTTTACATATCTCACTTCCCGAGTCCAGGACACAAAGGATTTAATACTCTTGTTATGAAAGGAAAAATCCTTCCTATGTCAGAAAATCTTTGGCTTTAGCACCAATAAACTCTTTATTACTGCTAAACATGGATTTGCTGCTCGATCGCAAAGAGGCGATAAAAATTCTAACCTGTCATTAGTACATTATG